TAGTTTAGCGTTCAGTTAAATTGTGTTTGGTTTTGAAACTTGGAGTTTCAAATAATATTTTTGACAGCTCCACTGATGAGGCATTTCATTAGCATTGGAGTCTACATTGGCCGAGAGAATAACCTTTTACCATAGGTTCCTTGCATGCATTTAATCTCCTTTCACTTTTATTTTTTCCATCTGATGGAATGTATCCCTCTCCTTCTCCCATCATTGTTGTTTTCCAAGAATTATTCTGTCCCACAACATAGCATTTTTTACCTCTCCACAAAGATTTACCAGGTTAAAAAGAGCCTGGTTTTTAGAGTTAAAAAAATTATAATTACTGCATAGAAAAATTACACAGAAAATCCTGTCTAATGCGAAGTTTCTAAACATCTTAAAACTGTTCTATCCCATGACTGCGGGTTTGCTGGTGACAAATGTTTTATGGGCATACTTTAGTAGACACCCGTCTAAAATCTGTTCTTAATAGTCAGATCCTAAATTGGAACCAGAGGGGCAGAAAAACCAGATTTGAAACGTGTTTCTAAGGGTTTGTTTTTACTTTCAGTTGAGACTGCCTTCTCTCATCTTTTGTACTGCTGTCAAAAGGGCCACTCTCATGGTTGTTCAAACTCCATGCTTCTTGACAGGAACAGTTGGACCCCTCTTCAATGACTTTCAGATGAAACAGCTTCCAAACCTCCAGAGCTTTAACTTGTAGTTATTAGGCCCTTTGAAATAGCAACACATTAATCAGCTGAAATCAAGTGGTCCTTTCTCCAAGGCTGTGATATTGCTGTTCTCTTCTAGGTAGAACTCTAGTCTAAATATTAGTTTCAAGAGCTTCCCCCCCCCCCCCAGATATGTCTATCGCATTTCTATTTTGATCATTGCTTTATAATGCTGTGAATTAAATCATGTAGTTCTATAATAGGCTCTTAAAGAAGTAACACAGAAAACTAGCTTCCACTTGTTTGACTTTTATTTTAGAAATTGGCTACTGTCCTTTTTATCTCTCATGCACAGTCTGAAGCCCAGCAGAAAAGGTGTCAATGATGTAATGGATTATGTCTGACAGAAGTTGGTCTAACGATGATGTGAAGCATGGCAAAAAGTATGGTTTGTTAAAACTGATCGTTTGAAACGGGAGCTTGGATTCTCTTCCTGACTTCTGCGGTATTGAGCAAGTGATCTGAACCCTTTAATGATTTCCCTTACCAGCGTATGTGTTAGGCAAAGAGAGACTAGAGACTACAAAGAATCGAGAAGATATTGTTCCGTGCAATAGCCATTGTATACATCAGCAGCTGAACCATTCTAGAGTTTTGGTAAAAGATATTGCTAAGAAAATAACGTAGGGAGGATAATGCCAGAGCTTTTCCAAGGCATAAGGTATCACTGGGGAAAAATACAAACACGCATGATTGAGAACCTGGTAATTTGGAATGGGGGGTGATGTCTGTATCACAGGGCTGCTGATGCTGTAGTCAGTGTCAGGGAGCTGCAGGGAGAGCTGATAAAGTAGGACATGGGCCTGTTTGGGAACTGCTTTGAAAGCTGATGCTACAGAACTACTCAAAAGGCTGTTAGAATGCAGAGATATTTCTATTCGCCTTATAAACACCCTCTGAACTTTTATTATGTACTCTATGTTCACAGCAATCATTTCCCATACCTCCGAGGCTAAATAATTTCTGAATAGCTAAATCAATTTGTCTGGTGTCTGTTTTGTGTCACAGTAATGAAAGTTCCCTCTAGTGCGGTGGTGGCAGTAAAGCAACTCTTCTGAAGGAGATGTGGGAGCTCTATCAAAGCGTCGCTGTCTGAGTTATAGCTCAGCAACTGATTAACAGTCAGCATTAGAGAGGAAGCGACAGTACGCCTCAGCCATCAATTTGAGACTACAGTGAGATTTTGTAATGAAGTTTTTAAGTTTTATTTAAGGTCTGAAACTTAATAATACACAAAATGTACTGTTGGATCTAAAATCACCAAGGTCTTGATTTTGTGTCTTGCCTAAATGACCTGTGATCGCAAGGTTGTATTATACTTACAACTGAGCGGAGCGATGTTCATATAGGATGGTGACAGATGCGCTAAAATTGGTTCAAGTCCTGCAATTGAATGAATGAAGAGAGGTTCTTCGAGAGCTTCATTGACTCCTGTAGGACTTTGCCTAGCTGACTGTCGGTGGAGACTTTTTCCTGCACCAAGACAACAGAATTTGCCAATACCCCAGGGAGATAATGTAAATGTAACCTCCTCCAACAGGCTGAAGCAAATGTTTTGAATTGATACCTGGCAATATGAATTTTCATGAAGGAGTCTACATAAGAATCAGATGTATATTTATATGTGTGTGTCTATTTTTATCTGCCTATATGTAACTGAGAGATATTTGTATATATATGTACAATAACAGGTCCCTGTTCTTTAGAGTGTCTTTTGAGGTAGAGCAGGAGCTGGTGTCACCTTCACACATCCAAGAGAATTGGAATAGCTTCAGAGAAAGTTGTTTGGGTTAGAACTTTTCATTCTTGGAAGACTTTTTAGCTTGGAATATCACAATTTTTGAAGTCTTTGTTAAATAAAGCCATGCAAGACTTGTGTAAGACAGAGCAAGTACCGTGCCTTCTTGACAAAGATTCTTGTGTTTCTGTTGCCTTGCTTACATATGAAATGTGGCTGTTGGAATCATTATCACTTCTAATTTTTTAGTATTCTGAAAAGCAGGATCAAAAAGACTACAAAAATCAAAACCAAATCCTCTTCTACGTTCCTATGCTGTGAATCAATAGTATGGGGATATATTGTCTGGATGTCAGCCCATTTTATAAATGAATATATCTCAAAGATTGTTTTACTGGCCTACAAATGCCAAGAACAGGATGACAGTCTTAATTCCTTGCGTAGAAGCAGCTAATGTAAAATCAGGTTCACTCTAGAAAATGCAACTGCTGTTTGGGCAGGGTTACATATACAGTCGTCATTTCTTGGTTTACGTTTGATCCCTGATAGACATTAACTGGCCATTTGTCTGATGTCAGATGAATCTCTTTGTTTAAAAGTTACAACAGCTGCTGTTTTGTAGGGGTGTAAATTCTCACCCCATTGAATGCAGTGGGGAGTGCTGCTTTGGTACAGTGTGGTTAGACTTTCAGGTCGGTAACACAGAATACATTGCCATAAATATCCCATTCTGCAAGTGCCAGCGTTGCCTGTGTGTATGTCTGACAGACCAAGGATGAAGGGAGGTAGAGATTTAGCTTTCTGATCACCCAGAGGGTTTTCCCTTCTTTGCAGTTTTGAGGTACATTAACTGGATCTGACTCATCTTTCACCTACCCGTATTGTTCTCAAAACATGAATTTTGTTTCTGATCATTCCAAGTTCCTCAGAGAAGAAAAAATCAGATAAATATGTTTGTGCCTTGTCTTAAAAGGAGATTGTTTAAAATAGTTTCAAGTTGCTACCAGCATTAGGCAGCTCTTCTGGAAACACTATGTATGAGTAAAAAAGGAAATGGGATCACAACATGCGTTTTACGGCAGTTCTGGTTTTAGTTTATTAACTTTGTGTTGCCAGCCACTCCAAGTTTGGAGTCTGTTCAGGTATCGTTGGTACTTGTAAGATAGGATTGCATTTTGGCTTGGTTGGTTTGTTTTTTTTTTTTTTTAATCTTAAGTGCTTTTTAAAATCCTCATTGTTAGTTACATATTTTGCTGCTCCAGTTTGCGGAACAGAAATTCAAAATTTGGCTTCTGCTTTTGCTATTAGTGAATTTTGTCAGATATTGCTCCAAACGCACAAACTCATACAATTTCTGGGCAGAGACTCCAAGCAACCAGTGAAATTAGAATATGCTGTGCTGAAGAATGGTAAGGGTATGGGAATGGAAACTAAGTTTACTGGATCCCTTTCCAAAATAATGCGTCACGTACAACCTTGCCTTCTGGAAGGTGATGGTCCTTTCTCTATGCTGCTATGAATCATAGCATCATAGAACAATTTGTGTTGGAAGGAACTTAAAGATTATCTAGTTCCAACCTCCCTGCCATGGGCAGGGACACCCTCCACTACACCAGGTTTCTCAAAGCCTCATCCAGCCTGGCCTTGAACACTGCCAGGGATGCGGCATCCACTGGGCAACCTGTTCCAGTTTTTCACCACCCTCACGGTGAAGAATTTGTTCCTTATATCTAGTTGAAATCTACCCTGTTTCAGTTGAAAGCCATTACCCCTTGTCCTATCACTACACGCCCTTGTAGCAAGTCCCTCTTTAACTTTCTTGTAGACCCCTTTAGGTACTGGAAGGCTGCTAGAAGGTCTTCCCCAGAGCCTTCTCTTCTCCAGGCTGAAAAACCTCAGCTCTCTCAGCCTGTCTTCATAGGAGAGGTGCTCCATCCCTTGGATCATCTTCATGGCCCTCCTCTGGACCTACTCCAACATGTCCATGTCCTCCTGTTTCAGGCCCCAGAGCTGAATCAGTACTGCAGGTGGGGTCTTACAAGAGCAGAGTAGAGGGGGCAGATTAATGGTGAAGAGGTGATTGCTCGTCATCCCCTGTGAGATGACGAGGGAGCTGGGTGGCTGCTGTTGCACAAGAGGAAGAAACTCTGCTCTAGTCTGTGAAAGACCCCCTGGCAATTCGGGTTTGATGAAGTGGAGCAGGTTTACCTCTATATAAGTGGGTCTGTTATACACTAGCGTTAAGGACAAAGGGCTTTCAGACTTCAGGGGGTCCCAGGGAGGAGTGAATAAAGCCTTCACACTAACCTTGTGTTCATGGCCTTGCACTTCACCAGATACAGGGGAGGAGAAGCTAACAAATGGCAGCCTAATGAATTCAAGCAGAATAGAAAGAGCATGCTTTGCAAGCAGATTTTCTTTGCCAAAATAATAATGTGGCTGAGCTAAACAGAGATTCAAGGATGAACGTGCATAGGGATAATGGCTGAACAGATTCCTCTTTAAACACGTGTGTGTATTCCCTTCTGCTGCTTTATTTCTCCTAGGTATTTGTGGTCACCGTCTGGAGCGTGGAGCTGTACATGGTGCCCCTGGCTCTCCTGGTGCTCTTTGCATACAACTTCTCCCTCGTCAAAACAGGGAAGGTCAACAACACCCAAGATGCCCAGGCAAGTAAAGTGGCAGTAACGTTTCTGTCAGCCCTAACTTGAATTTGCTCTTGAGGAAAATGTCGTATTTTATAATAAGTATATTTATGGTTTAATGGTATTAAGCCACCTCAGTCCTTGTAATTTTCAGGATTCAATTCAAGCAATAAACCATCCAGAGTAGTAGGGAGTGTGTAGGAGAGGGATTTCACTTACTAAATAACTACAAACATTTTAAACTAAGTTGAATTAAGAAAGTCTTACAAAGCAACGAGTTTCTAAACCCCGTGCCCCTGCTGCTCTTGCGCTTTGCATCACGCTGATGATTCATGATTCACAGAAGAGGAAAGTCAATAGAAGCCGAAAGAGAAGTTAGTTCTTTTTAAATCTCGTCCTATGATATGAGATTTTAAGAAGCCTTTATTCCTGCTCCCCACCCTTCACTTTTAAATGACAAATTTATTTTTTTTTTCCTCTCAGAAATTTAGCCTTCAGTTTTTAAACTTGATCTGGGAGAAGGAAAGTATTTAAATACAAAAGTAATTACAACATATGTGGCAAAGTACTACTGCTGGGCTATGAAATGCTGTTTGATGTTGACCACTGTCTTTATACAACAGTGGTAATCACAGTTAGAAACGAGAGTAAATTCATGGATGTCTGTAATATTCTCGTTTTAAATGTGTAGTAAGTGCGGTAATGGAATATGGGCTGAATTATAGCTTCCTTCTAACTTTTGATAAAAAGATGATTGACAGTTGTACCCATGCAGAATACCATTACCCAAATGAATCAAGTGGATTTTATACTAAGAAATAATATCCTAGAATTAAAAAGGTCAATAGCTGGTTTATTAGTTTTATTGAGAAGAGTTGCTCGTAGTTCAGTTTTCATCTGTTCCCAAGTAGAAAGATTGTTAGAAAAAAGGGGAAGTTGCTTTATCCCGACCAGGATATAGACTTGATTTGAAAATGAATAGTAAAAGAATTGCTTTTCTCCAATTTCAGCCAAGTCCAGAATAATGTCGAAAGATATTGTGTGTCTTCAGTGACTATTTCATTAAGAAAATGAGAACTTCCCATGTGGGAGAATCCCAGGCCAATAGGTGTTTTTAGTTTTAATACAAAAGTCAATATAAAATAATAATGACTTACCCAGGAAAAATTACAGAGAGAATACCTTCCAGCAGCCATCACTCATCCTACAGTGAGTTTGTTGCATGTTCAAGTGAGGAGAGTCTCACATAAATCAGCATAATTAAGCAGTATATCATTCAGGTGGATGCTACAGAAAGGCAATACCTGAAAATACAAGTTAATTGTAGTGATACTGAAGAAAGGTCCATCAGAAAGTTGGCCCTTTTCCTGCTACACATCCTGCGAGCAGTGCAATGCCATGAAATTCAGGGATGCGTTGCGCATAAGCAAAGTTACACATCTGCCTAAGTGCTTTGCAGGATTAGGATCATATGGAACAAGTAGTCAGAGTGCCTTTGATATTACTTGATTTCTTTTTTATGTGTGTCTATGATTCTAATCATCTGTAGGTCAAAAATAGACAATCAGGTGCTACCCCTAGTCACATCTGTCCTGCAGATGAGAAAAGTTTTTCTTCAAAATACCGATGCTTTTACACAGTCATTTATTTGTTTTTCACTTCTTCAGACGTTGGCTGCATGTGCACTACCTTTGGTTTTTGTGTACCAGCATGCACGTTTCATGTATCTAGAGGAATGTGAGCAACAGTCTTTGCAAAAGTGAACCTCAAGTTCTCTCTGATTTCTGTGCTATAAAATGAGAATAACAGTATTAACCTTATATGCATGATCCAGTTGCCAGGAGGCTAAATTTGTGAATATTGGTAAAATGGTTTATGGTTTACAGATGGGGAGCTTCTAGAGAAATGTAAACCATGATCAGTGTTAATTCAGCTGCTCAGGGTATTCCAGAGAGCTAAAGAGTAAAGCCAGGTATCTGAGCTCTCAGTACCTTCTGCATACTAGATGCAACTGCTTTTCAGGGAGGGGGAGAAGAAAAAAAACCCAAAACGAAACGGAAAAAAACCCTAACCCCCTCCAAAAAAAACCAAATCCAAACCATCTTTTCTTGTGATTCCTCACATTCTTTGAATGTTCACTGTATTTATACTTGCAGTACAGTGCATCAAATGTACCTATTAAATAACCAAGGGAAAACTCAGGAGACCCTGTTAAAGGCTCAGCTTATCAAATACCTGAATTGAAAGCCAAGTGCTCCTAATTTCAAGCCTTAGCCAAGCGCTTTGTTTTCTCCCCTACCTGTCAGCATAGAAGTTAAAGGGAGGAAATAATGCCGCATAGAAATCTGATTGTGATTCGTGAGATTATGTTCATACTAATGTATTTTCTGAAGTCTGATGTTTCAGTAACGGCCCTAAAGGGAGGGAGCAGTCATTGTAGCAGTGAGGATGGAACAAGTTGAGTATAGAGTCCTCAGCCTTGACATACCAGCTGGTTTGTTTGTCAGACTAAGAACAAAGCTGTTTACAGACAGTAAAAGTTGGCAATGAATTTGAAAGCCTGTTGCCTTCAAACTACTGGACACAGCCACTAATGCTTTATTTAGACTTAAAATTTGTATAGGACATTATGTGCTTTGTTCAGGATATCACACAAAAAATAGTCCTTGAATACAAACGTTATTTCTGAAAGGTGAAAGTGGTGGGTTTTTTTCATGACTTGCAATAGAAGTGGGGAAAAAACTGTAATGAAATGTTGTGGGAGTATAGTAAGATTTTTTGAACATTGCCTCTCACTGAAAAAATAAGTGTAGTGTTTTGTAATATGGACATCTGGTTTTGCAGGAGCTTATGGGCTTGGATGAAGATGAGGATGAAGACGATAAGGTAAGCATATCTCACAATTGTGTTAGCTAGAATTGGAAGGAATGTGGGAGAGCACAAACTTTCCATCCTGTCTCCCTGAGGTCTTTGTTTATTATCTGTACTAACTGGGAAAATAGTTGTTACCAGTTTACTGATTGACAAATTTGAAAGTATAAAAAGGTTGGTTTGTATAACATGCAACAGTGGTGTCACCTACATGAGACCTCTGAACTTTAATTGCATCCTGAGCAGTCCTGTTTGTGGTTGAAACCATAACAGGCACATGTTCATGTACGTGCACTTACAGGTATGTGTATGGGTGAATGAGGTGTAAAATCCCTCATCACATCTATTCTGAGTGTTGGATGGACGTTCTGTACTAATGGCTTTCCCCAAATGATTTGACATTGCCATTTCTGTAGGCCAAAATTGGTGTGGTTTGTGGAGGACTGGTTAGAATTTTCTCATTGTTTCTTTCAGAGCCTGGGAAAGAAATGGTTTTAGTTCATGGGCTGGAATGTAGAAAGAATTGAAATTGGCAAGACCTGTTTCTTATTTTATTAGAGCATACTTACTTGTTCTTCTCACTATGAAAAATTCATTGGATTTTTTTTCAAGTTTATCAAACCGCAGTGACAAATGATAAAAGGATTAGAGGGCATGACACACGAAGAAAGATTAAGAGAACTTAATATGTACAGCTTGAAAAAACGTAAGTAAGTGAAGGAAGATCTGATAATCTATAAATACTTGAAAGCTAAAAGGTGAGGAATTATTTAACGAGCAACAGCATGCAAAGGAACATTAGCTGTTAGGAAGAAAATGTTCACAAGGCGATGTGAAACTTTCAAATTGCATACTAAGTTAATAAGCCCCTTTTTGAATATTCTATGTTTTAAGACTGTTACAGTGAGATTGTTGATCATTGAGAAGTAAATCAATACCACAGTTAGCAAGTGCACCTTAACTCTTCTCAGTCACAGACACTGGAGTTGAAGCTCAGCAGACTAATTGATGGGAATAGTTATTTGAATTTAACCTGCTCTTCTGCGGTGGTTACATTTTAATGAGCAACCAGAAATCCATCAAAATTATAAAAAGAACTTGAGACAATCTAGTTGAATTACAGGTTTTTCACAACACACAGTAATTGCTAAAATGTTCTCATTTATAATTCATTCTGCACTGTAAAATTGGTCAACTAAATGGACCGATATCTGGAACTCATCAGAAGGTGCTAAATGAAAGTTGCATCTTTTTCAACGTCAGTCTCTAAAAGTCAATAATTTCTGTTTCTTGGGGTACCCAAAGCTAAACACTTATGTAAATGGTGACCCTACGTCTTGTTTGTGTGATGCTTAAAGGTGCAATTTCTTCGCTGGAATTGATCCTATTTACTTTCCTCTTTTTTAATTTTCCTCTTTTTATATTTGCTAGTATTGAGATTAATTTAATCATCTGTTTCCTGTGCTGTGCAACAGATTCATTGCTGCAAAGCCAAAATATTCTAGGTTACACTTACCCTAGATTTAACTCCACTGTCACTCTCCTTCTTAGTTTCTTTTAACTAAGTATGTAGGTTTGAGAAAACTCCTGAGAGGCAACATTGAGCTGCTGCTGATTTGACCCTGCCATTTGGTAATCAGCGTTGCCCCTATCTCCGTTTCATGCATGCACAGTTGACTCTTTGCAATGGAGAGCTGGTAGCACTGGCTAAAGCTACTCACAGTAGACACCTGCAGCAGGCTTTCTCATCAAGATAACACTTTATATCCCAACGTTACAACAATAATAATTCGTAACTTGTGCCAATTGATATACTAGTGTTACGGGTCTCCTGTTACCAGGAGAGAGACTCGCCAGCCCCTACGTGTGTCCCATGTCAAGTGTTGTGCAGCATTGCCTTAATGTCTTCGTCCTGTCCTGGATATCCCCTTTGCATCAGTGAGGGACCATACTTGCACTCTGACTTGCATCTTCAAGTACATTAGGTTATTCTAAGTGAGGTTTCCAAGTCTGAGGGTGGCCAACGCTCTCTAGGGAGTGTAAGAAAAATGTAACTTTATGACATTATCTCATGGCAATGTCAACATTTAAACAGACAACTATACTTTAAAAAGAAGTCTGTGTATTTTTTTTTCCTCCCTAATACAAGAGCTCCTAAAGTTGAAATCTGCTAGTTGGGTTGTAGTATAGGAGGTCACTGTTTCTGTTTCCTATCATCGTGCTCTATCAAAATACTCGCACACATAGCCTTTCTGGGTTCTGCTGCATGTTAGACATAACAGACCATGCTTCTGGGAATTGTAACACACCCTCTAAGAAATGAACTGTTTACAAATTATAAATACACAGACACTTAGTTCAAAAACCCAAGAGCAGATTAACTCCCTCCACCTAAACTATCTGTCTCAAATGATAGGGCTTAATTGCCAGCTCCCCCTTTCTCTCCCTCTCTCCCCTTCCCAAATACCAGCACAGAGGACTGTAAAAGATAAGAGAGCTCTGTCCCTTTGGCACAAGCTCTTCGGTGGATGAACGCCTTCTCGGATTTTTGCCATCTTGGACATAGAGTTCAGGCTGCGTCATGTCAGCTCTGGGGTCTGTCAGGCCGTCTGAATAAGGATTGTTTTAAAATTACATCACTAAAACATCTTTCACCCGCCAGTAAAAGGTATAGACAAGTTACATGCGTCTCAGAATGTAAGTTGTCTGATCATTGACCATTTATTTTTATTTTACTTTTTTTTTTTCTTTTTTTGACAATGACTGTAGAGCTTCAGGAGCAGACAGTTGCCCTGTCAAATGAGTGTATCATAGCGCCTGACTGGAAGGAGTCTTGGAGTCTTCTCATGGTCTTAAGTTGTCTGGATAAAAGTTTGCATCTTGTCCAAAACAGACAAAACTTAAATTGCTACTACTTCCAGGTCTAGTAATTGATTCAAAAGAAAACCAGAGACAAAACTAAATCATAGAATGGTTAGGGTTGGAAGGGAACTCTAAGATCATCTAGTTCCAACCCCCCTGCCATGGGCAGGGACACCCTCCACTACACCACATTGCTCAAAGCCTCATCCAACCTGGCCTTGAACACTGCCAGGGATGGGGCATCTACAACTTCTCTGGGCAACCTGTTCCAGTGCCTCACCAACAAATCAACAATAGTTTTGGGTTTTTTTGTTTATTTGTTTGGTGTTTTTTTGGTTGGGTTTTTTTTTTTTTCTTCTCTTCAAAGGTTTCTATCCTCTATCCAGTGGTGAGCCAGTGTAGCCCTTCTTCACTGATGGGATGTAGTAGGGAAGGATCAGATGGCACTGTGGCTCTAAGCCAAGTTATTTGGCAACTTCCAAGAAATGTTTAGTATCTCATGTATTGGAAAAAAAGAAAAGTGGGGAAAAAATTCCCCAAAGAAGAAAAATCCAATGCTTCTAATGTAGGAAATTCTCTGTCAAAAATAGGTACCAAAAATATACAAAGTTTTATGAACACAGTTCAAAAAGACTCCAGCCGAACAAATTAAAGTCAAATTCATCCAGTAGCAAACAGCTGACATTTTCCGTTTGAGTTAGATTCAGCATGTGGAAACCTTCCGTATGGATCTTATTTGTACGGGTGGATTACGATGAAAATTGCATTAATTTTCTCCACAGTAAAGGTCAGTAATTGAAACATGAACCAAGAGTCTATTGTGCAAGATGCTATATCCCCATACTTAGGAAAGGTCATTCAAGACAATATCATCTCATTGTTTTCTTCCCTGGAAGTATAAATAATTTCATTAGTTTTCCTCTTTTCTCTTCAATACAACAATTGCAATATAATATTTCAACATCTCCCATTAAGATTGCTGAAGAGAAATGATGGTAAATATTTGAAAATACCCCATGATACACAAGGTATGTTCAGACTAACAAGGAGCACCCACTTTCTCCGCAAAATAAGGGACAAAATCATACCCTAAAAAAACCCCACAAGGTGTGGTTTTGTGTAGACTTGGACTCCCTTAAATTGCTGCTCTTTCTTCATTTGACTCCTTGTGGCTCCTGTCTCGCTGCTTCCTAAGCAGTTCGTGCACAGACCATGAATATGTTAGTGATGGAGAAGCTTAAGGGACAGATTCTGCTACTTGCCTGAGCTCCACTCGGTGCAAAGCTGGAGGATGGGACACTTCATCTAATCTTGCAGACACCTTGACTGAAGTGTAATATAAGTTTCCATGTGTCTCTTAAGACATAATTACAGCTTCTGTAATTTTTTTCCAAGCTTCTTATTAACTCAGTCAACTTCTTGTTAAGACAGAGTGCAGGGGTTGCTCTGGTTGTGCTTTGCTTTTTGCTTGGGAGCCTCCTGTGTGCAAGAAACTGGAAGAGAAATGGTCAGTTGTTGCTTCTTATTTACACTGCAACATTGTTTTGAACTACTCTTATCCATAGGCATTCCATAAATTGGCACAATCCTTGTCCCAGCATCACAGCCAACCCATTCATAGGTTTAAAAGTGATAGAATAGTTTAAGGAGAGACTTGCAAAGGACTTTTAGATATCCTGGGGACCGTGATACGGCTCTTCTCACATAGAAACCTTAGCAGCCCTATGGCAGCCTTAAAATTCTCCCTCCTGCCTTGGAGGTAGGTAAGCTGACACTGTAACTTCTCTAAATCTCTGGAGAAATGTTAAGTAGCACTAGGCAGGCCACTGGACCGAGCACATGAACCTCAAGGTCTTGCCACTTAAAAATTCCAGCTATTTAAAATGTTAAAATTTGTTTTGAATTGGCCAGATGTATGGATAGGTCTATCTTTCTCCTGTACCCCAAAATGCTAAAGATCTTTACCTAGGTTATAGGTGATGGTCCAGTAGTTTTAAGTCTAATCACCATGGGATTACTTTTAGCTCTTCTGTGTATTTCCAGGAGAAAGGATGTTTTTTGGCCAAAGTTGTTTTCTTTCCCATTCCCTTTTTTAAATCAAAGATGACAGATGACTTTTTATCTCCATTCAGGCTTCTTTCTTGTTGTTTCTT